ATATATATATATATAGATAATTGATGAGTAATATTTTTATAAAATTTCATTGACTACAAGGCTAAAAAGATTTATAATTAATTAAACGTATTAATTAAGAAAATAGAATAAACATTATTAAGTTACATTCAAATGATGTTTTAAATAAACAATAATTTTTAAATATTGCCCCAACCCTTGACATCTTATGGCTGCGCTCTTATGGCTACGTGATTAGAGTTGTCAAAACGACTCTTTCTTCGTGAACGGTTCGTGTTCGGTTCGCTGAGCAATCGATCGCTCATTTTGACTCGAAATTGGGCATATGCTTATCAATTGTAGGTCTCCCCCCGAGTGTAGGGTGTGATACTCGAATTCTTATGTGCATGAGAGACGGTCGGGGCTCGTATAATAGCCTCTGACCATTTTTTTTAATATATATATATATATATATATTGATGAATAGTATTTTTAAAAAATTTAATTGATTGTGTGGTCAAAAATAATTATAATCAATTAAAAATATTAATTAAGAAAATAGAATAAAATTGATTAAATTAGATTCAGATGATGTTTTAATATAAACAATAATTTTTAAATATTGCCCCAACCCTATGGTTCGTGTTCGGTTCGCTGAGCAATCGATCTGAACACGAACACATTTTTTAGCTTGAAATATAAACGAGTCAAACACAAGCTGAGTGGGGTCGCTCGTGTTCGGCTCGTTTACACGCTTAAGTAACTAAAGACATATTTGGTCTCACTACCCCTTTATTTGAAACCAGTCTTAGGAGATATGTTATATATAAACTGTACTATTTTTTTATCAAATGATAAGCTCTAACATACTGATGGGAGAAAATATTGCTAATAACTCATATAATATGTTAGTAAGATTCTCTCAAACACAAAAACTTGTTATTTGTTGATGAACAAAATTGCATTGACTCAGGTATTCTCAACACGAAGGATGTGTCCATATTTTAAGGCCTACGCTATTGGTGTTCACACACATCTCCTTTTAAAGTTTATCTTATAAAGACCATAGGAATATGAAATGTTGATCAAATGGTTAGTGGAATTGCGAGAGTTTGATATTGAACACCTACCTCGATTAGACATTAAATCACAATGAGCAATCTCTTTCCCCTCTAGTATCACCTCAATGGACATTTTATGTCAAATAGAGCTTTTAGAAGTTCTGGAGCTTGTTTTGAACTATTACTAATATCTCGATTCAAGATATATTGGAGCATAGACTCCGCTTATAATTTCCAGCAACCAACAACATAGAGTATGAAGCCTTTGTTGTTAGGCTAAAGCTTGTCATTGATTGTGAAGTACAAAACTTAGTTGTCCATACTGACTCCCAACTTCTAGTTTCCCAAGTAAAGGGAGACTACGATGCTCATAGCTCGCAGCTGGCACAATATCTCGACCTAATGAAGAAACTTCTCATGAGAGTCAGAAGATAAAAATTCATTCATACAATCCAGGAGCAGAATACTCAAGTTGATGCTCTCTTCAAACTTACAACTTCAATGATGGGAGATATCCTCAAAAGGAGGTGCATCAAATAAGTACATTTCCCCAACAATTCTAAGGCACGTTGGAGATATCTTCGAAAGAATCTTCTTGGATTGACCCAATCATTTCTTTATTTCGGGGTGAGACATTACCAGGGAGATATCTTCGAAAGAATCTTCTTGGATTGACCCCATCATTTCTTTATTTTGGGGTGAGACATTACCAGATGATGAAACCACTTTTGTTCGCTTCCGACGATGAGCTAGAAACTTCATTATCAGTAGGGGTGAACTATACCATAGGGCATTTGTTGGTTCATACCTTAAATCTCATCCACCATCCAAACTATACATGACACACAATTAGCTCTCAACTTTGATCCCTGCATCCTACTGATATTATGGTAGCTCTCCACTACGACCTATGTGACCAACTGTGGCCCACGTGGCTCATATCTTCTATAGCTTCCTATTATAACCTCTGTGGTCAATCGATGTTTTTAAAATAACCCTCTATGATCCACACTGCCAACTATTATCATAGCCTTCAACTACAACTCATATCATAAGATGGAACTATTATCACCTTCAACAACATTCACAACGGATTATTTCTTCCATTTCAATCAACTACGACCGTTGTGGCCTATTATCACTGAGAACTACATTCATTACAACAAGTAAATGAATATTATGGATGAAGTGTTAAAATGATCAATTTTGTAACTCCATCTTCTCTAATTCGGGAAAAAGCAGACCCGCACTCACCATTCACAGTGGTATGACCCTGTGATTTTTTTCCCATTTTCAGGGTTTTCCACATAAAAACTAAGGAGTCTCCTCCTGCTTCTCTTTAATTACTTGAGTATATGTTGGTTTTTATTCTAATTTTAAGACAATAATTTATCACTCTGTCATTATGGACCTTTCAGCGTACACAGTTTGATGTCTTATATTGGAAGTGAAGTCTCATTCACCATTATCTTCAAGTTTGAGATGTCGAGCTTATACAAAATCCAACTGGTGAATAAAACCTCATTTGCACCTCTTAAAGAAGCATTCTTTGATGTGGGGGGACAACTTTAACTACATTCTTAATATGTCATTCACGTCAACTCCCTATACACAATTGTAGTGGGGTAGACTTCTTACATCTTATAAGACATAAAGTCTATGATTACTTTCAAGCTGGGGACAACCTTCACTGCAGTCTTTAGAGGTTATTCACATTAATGTGTTGGGAAACACTATGGTGGGTAGTCATCTCGCATTTTATTAAGGCATCAAATCTTCAAGATTCACTTCCATACTAGGTGCAACTTCACCAATAATGACTCCTCAGCTTGCCCCCTACCAAACTAGAGTTCTTGCACAAGTGGACTAATCTGATTTTTTCATGGTTTGATACATAGGTTGCTTTATATGCTCAAGTGAAAAACACCATCAATAGGAGATAATAAATTCAAAAGTAACAACTAGTAAGTTGTCAAAAATTATGCTTGAGTATAATTACAACCATATTTTAAGAAAAGTACGGTACATTTTGAATTACACCCCGGTCTCTAAACATATAAAAAATTTTTCTTACACTACATTCTCGGCTTAATCGCATTACAACCATATTTTAAGAAAAGTACGGTACATTTTTGACTTACACCCCGGTCTCTAAACATATAAAAAAATTTTCTTACACTACATTCTCGGCTTAATCGCTTCTGAAGGGACTCGATTCGACCATGTCTATCCCTTGCTACAATTTTCAAGCATAGGCTTCAACTAATAACCTCAGATGGGTCAATAATTTTTTGTGGTTTCTCTTCAACCTTTTTTGTCATAGGCTACCAAGTTGACAAACTTTGACCAACAACATAATAAAAGTTGAGCATTTACAATGGCATGCAAGATCTTCACCTATACCACTAGAATATAAACCCAAAAGAAAAGTCTAGATGGGAAGCTAATCTTGGATACATTCTCACTGGAAAGACTCCTTTAAGGAAAAGTTATAGACAAGGCCTTCATCCATCCTAAGAATTCCAGCTATAAGGAAAGACTCGATGGGAAGACGCCATACCCTTAGAAGTCGAGCCCAAAAGGCAAGACTCGATGAAAAGCTATGATACCCCTAAAATACAAGCATGGGAGAATAGTCTCGATGGAAGCTACCATGTCCCTAGAAGACAAGTTTGCGAGGCAAGTGTCGTTGGGAAGCTAGCAGGGAACAATATACTCATCAGAAAGACTACCTGAGAGCATGTGCTTGATAGGGTCTCAACTCAAAGTCATTGAAAGGCTACAAGCCTCAGAAGACATAAGTACATTGAAGATCTCGGAATATTATAAGCTCGTGAAGGCACAAGTGCATTACAAGCCCCAAAAAGTATAAGCCTAAAAAACACAAGGCTAAAAAGGTACAAACTATGAAAGCACAAATCTCAGAAGGTAAAAGCTACAATTGATACATAATTTTTCTTTATACAGATCATATGTTCAAGCTTTGATTACAGACTTCTACGCATTTGAGAAGTAAAAGAGTCTCAGAAGGCATAAACCTGAAAAGAACTTGATCACTATAGACGTGCCCATGAGATGGATACAACAACATATAAGTGGAGGAGAAATAAACCAGAAGTCAGGGGACATCTTTCTAGAAGTTGGGAAACAACACCTCAGAAGTGGAGCAAAAACATCCCAAACAAGGGGCAACCACAACTCAGAAGGAAATACAAAAGCAAGTGAGAAGCAACATTGAAATTTTTATGACGTCAATCACAAGAAAAATTGTATAAACAAACACATTATCACTGTGTACAAATGCCATATAGCGATTGAAAAGATACAAGTCATCAAAAGCAAAGATATTAATCAACTACAACATCCCCTTATTATTATAAGGTCTGTAGCTTCATATTCTCGTCTTCAAACTACAACATTCTGACTTGAAAAGCCTTCAAATTCTCTACACTTTAATCAAGGATTCATGTGATCGCTAATGAAGTGGTCGATCTTTACTTGCTCTATTTTTCATGCCCTTGAAGAAAGGGTGAGCTCCTCTTTTTTTGTTTATTTTTGAACGGTAAGGCCAACTCACCTTTAGGGGGGTGTCATCACCACCTCCTTAAAATTATGGTACTTCCATTGATTTATAAGGGGGCATGATTATCTAGATATCAACAATTTAGCTACACAAAACTCTCCTTCATAAACCAGAACAATAGCACAGAAAATCCCTATAATGAATTGAAAGAAAGGGGCAACTTGTCTTGCCTTAAGCTGGACGGGTACTGCTCTGGACTAGGATGGTGTTGCTCTCCCCCATAAAGCATTACAACAACATAGGAAATCCCTTCAGAAAGTACAACCGCAACGTAAAAGAGGAACCAAATTTATCAAACAAACAAGTCAGGGGACTCCACCTTTTTTATTCTAGGAGCCTCATTGATCATATAAACAAGCCAGGGGAGTCTACTTTATTTCTTTTGGGATTTCTAATGGGAGCCTTGTTGATCACACAAGCAGACAGGGGACTCGACCTTTTTTCCTCTGGGAGCTCTATTGATTACACAAGCAGGCCAGGGGCTCTATCTTTTTCTTCTAGGAGGCCCATTGATCGCACCAGTAGGCTCGAGGACCCCACTTTTTTATTACAGAGTCTCTTTGATACAGAGTCTCTTTGATCGCATAGGTAGGTCGGGGGATTCAATTTTTTTTTCTTCTGGGAGCCCTGTTGATTGCACAACAAGACCAAGGTACTCCACCTTTTTTTATTTTAGGAGTCTCATTGATCTCACAAATAGGCAGAAGACTGCACTTTTTTTCTATATTAGGAGTCCTGTTGATCGCATGAGCAGGCCGAAGGACTCAAACCTTTTTTTCTTCTAGAAGCCCTGTTGATCGCAAAAGTAGGTCAGAGATTCCATCATTTCCATCCACTTTGTGGCCTATTCGTAGGCTTAAAATGAAAAAAAAGCAAAAAAAAAAAGAAGAAGAAAACATAAACATATCTAGTATTATTTTGGCCTACAAATCATTGACGTGGCTATCTATAGTCCATTGGATTGTTCTTGCCTTCCTCCATACGATACCACATTCAGATTGTTGACGTGGTAGTCTGTCATCCATGTCGGTGGATTGTCTATGTGGCCCTCGACAATCCATTGAATTACTTCTGTCTCTCTTCATTTGATCCACATCCTCAAATTGCCCAACACTATGTCCTCCTATCACTAGCACAAATCACCACCACCGGTGGCCTCCACATCAGTCATCGTTGACGGTTGCCACCTTTGGCCGCCATCATAGGCACAGTTGTCTGCTCAGGCTTAAGCTGTCATTGCTTCTGCCCAACTCCAGCAACCGTCGCCAACCACCTTAAGTTGCTAACAAACTCCAACATCTACTGTCTCCATTCAACTTTGACACCCACCGTCAACCACCTCCAACATTTGGCCTTTCCCTTCAACCTTCAGTTCCTGCCACTGCAGCTTTGGCCAATGCTTCCCATCACCATCGCCCGCTGTCTCTACCTTTGTCTGATGCAACTCTGACCACCTCTAGCCAACTCCGGTCGTCGGCTACCTCCAGCCAACTACGGGCTCCGTCGTCTTTAGCAACAAAAATAATTAAATTTTTTTGAAGGCTAAGAGATTCAAATCATTGACCTCACATAAGTAAAATCAATGAGTTTTCAACCGAACAAAACATAATTCCTTAATTAATATACACAACAATATATATATATATATATATATATATCTAAATTTTTTGTATTGTCGAATGATGAAGTTGGCCAAGCATAAAAATAAGGGGGTAGTGGATACATCACGTAATATACACAACAATATATATATATATATATATATCTGAATTTTTGGTATTGTCGAATGATGAAGTTGGCCAAGCCTAAAAATAAGGGGGTAGTGGATACATCACAAACAAATTTATCATTTTGTCATGAATATAAAGGCATGAAATGAACCTCAATGTAACTTTTTGAGCTAGAATTGTTTAAAATTTAAATAAAAATCTTATAAAGCTCTGGCTTTAGCAAACCTACTATTAAACTAACTAGATTGATGAGACAGACATAATGATATCAAAAGTTATCCAATTTGAGTCAAACCTACTATTAAACTAACTAGATTGATGAGACATACATAATGATATCAAAAGTTATCCAATTTGAGTCTAGATCAAGCCATTAAATCACATTTGGAAGTTTTCAAAGTGTAATTGGAAGGTCAAATAAATTTCAAATTTGATTCTATTATTATCAAATCTAACGCCTATAAATCCAACGAGCCAAATATTACTCAATTATGATATCATCATGACAACAAATATTTAACTAAACATTGTCCAATCAAGGGAATCACTACAGGCCTCTGATGGAATGGTATAAATTCCTTCTTTATTTATAGAGAGGCCTCTTCTGAGGTCTATAAATAGAGCCTACACCACTCTAAAGAGGAGAGCTCGACCTTGAACCAAAGGAAATGTCAATCCGAAAGAAGGACCTAAAGCAGAGCGTCATTTCTATATCGAAGGTTTGTCAAATGTTTCTCGTTTCTACAACCGCCGCCCACTGTTGCTTAATGTATATTAACCACTCTCGACCACCGTTGGACCCCTGACTTGTTGCAATGAAAGACCTTGCAGAATCACGATATGAGTTAAGGAATCTCAACAAACATTGCACAACAATGAGGTATCTTCTATTACAACACACCTCAAAAACTATGGAATAATGCACCTCGACTATGGTGCAACGAAGCACCTTGATTATGGTGTAGCAATACATCCCACATACGGTGCAATGTCATCTTCTGAAGACAATGTAATAATACACCCATGAGAGAGTAGCTTTTTCCCATACTCCTAAAGCTCCCGACATCGATCTTTGCGGCCTGCAGATGTTGCATAGCTCACCACTACGACCTAGATGACCAACAATGACCTACATGGTCAATAGCTCGAGTAACTCTCAACTCCAACCTCTGCGACATACGTGGTTCACAACTTATGCAACTCTCTGACCCTGACCCTATGACCTACAAACATCGTCACAACTCACCACTATAGCCTTTATGATCAACTAAAACCCAAGTGACATACAACTCATGCAACTCCCGACTCTGGTCCATGTGGCTTACCACTAGTGCAGCTCTCGACTCCAGCTCTTGCGACCTGTAGACGTCATCACAACTCATTGCTACGAACTATGTGACCAATTACGACCTATGCCGCTTATAACTTGTGCAACTCATGACTTTCAATCCTTGTGACTTGTAGACGTCATCACAACTCATCATTACAACCTATATGACCAATTATAGCTAAGTAACTTACAATCATTCATGACTGAATATTATCTCCATAGCAATCAACTATAACCCATGCAACCTGCTATCAATCAGAACTACATTCATTATAACCAGACTATGATTATTATCAATGGATTACTATTATACCTCTACAATAATCAACTTTGTAACTTCATATTCCCCAATTCATAAGAAGAGTAGACCTTTATACTCATTATTCATAGCGAATTACATCAACTGAGTTAGTCTCTGTGATTTTTCCCCTTTTTCAAAGTTTTGCACATAAAAATTGAGGTGTCTCATTCTACTAAGTTCTCTTTAATTAATTGATTGTATGTTTGATTTTCATACAACATTAAGAAGATACTACTTTCAAATGCAATTCTATAGCAGTTATATAATTCATGGTTTGGTAGAATCCACAAATTAAAACAAAAAGTTGATCCATTTTGTTCCGAATCATTAATCAAGCCGAGACCAATTTATCAAAATCGTCACAAAAAAAAGGCGCCATGATCCGCATACAATGAATACAAACTGCTCTGTACTTAGCTCGGGATAGGCCCTCGATGAAGGGATAATAACAGCTGCATCAGACGAAGTTATCCAAGTTAAATAAATGCATCCGCAATGGCATTCTCGTCATTCATTCAAAAGAGTGAGCTTTCACTCTTCGGGCCGAGCAGAGTTGAAGCGGTCTGTATCAAAGATCGCTGTTTGTTTGTAAATTGCAAGAGAAGTGTGGTTCACTCCTTTCATCTGAGAAGCCATTTCAGGTTCCCTCTCATTGTAGCTTTGCTTTCAAGCTTTTAGCGGCGAAGGGGACACATATGCTTCTGATCTCATCCTCTTCTAGCTTGCTCGCCGTTTTCGATGTGTCTCTAGATCCCGACTCCATTCTTTTTTCTCTTCTTCATGGTGGAGGAGTTTGTAGCTCTGGCTTGGAAGCCATATAACTGCCCCGTCGCTTCATCTTATCCCCGTTACTAAGTCAAGATCGGGGATAAAAGATGGAAATGTGGCTCATTCCTTACCGATTTGAAGCTCGCTTTCCAGATCTGCGGTGCAAGAACTTTTTCTGAAACGAAAGAAGGTAGTTTGAAGTGGTTGTTGATCAGTTGGTAGGTTTAGGTTTAGGCGTACTGTTCTCGCGGTCATTTTGCGTGTTCCTGTGGGTTTATCTGAGGTTGTGTGGGGAATGGATCGAAGTTTTAGGGCACCGGAGCTGAGGGGAAGGACTCTGGCATCAGTGATGAAGGATAAGGAAGAGGATCTTGCCCTTTTCATGGAGATGAGGAAGCGCGACAAGGAGCGGAACAATCTTCTGCTCCAGAACTCAGATGAACTCGATCAACCGTTAGGTATTGCTTCTGTCTCGTACATGTAAAGCATTTGCTCTCATCTGGTTTTCCTTAGCATTGATGGTTAATTGTAGAGAAGTTTGGTATCTCCTATTTCTGATAATCTTTCTGATTTGTAGAGTCGCATCATGGGGGATCTCCATTATTCAAGATTGTGCCTTCAGCTGTAAGGAAAACAGGGATGGATGATTTTCTGAACTCCGACAATGAGAAGAACGATTATGACTGGTGATTCAACTAAATGATCTCCATTTCTATTTTCATGCAAATGAGCTAGTTTAGGTGTGTGAAGAATGGCATACAATTTTCAATCCAAATTACTGTTTGCATGTGTTCTTTGTGTGCTTTGCTCTTTATTTATTTATTTATTTTTTGTTTATGCCCTGCTACTTACAGGTGTTGGTTGACACACTCTAATTTTTTTTTAGTCAAGCTCAGGCTTTTGTCATGAATCTCTTATGGTTCGGATTGTGACAATAGTCTGTCTTCTTTATTTCACGGCTTTCATTAATTTGCCTTTTCTTCTGTGCCTGTCTTTATTTCACGGCTTTCATTAATTTGCCTTTTCTGTGCCTTTTTGATGTATGAGAGCGGCATTAGGGTGCAAATGAGCAGAGCAGGCTCGTTCACGAGCTCACGGGCCGAGCTTATTGAGCCACAAGCTCTCGCTCGTCCCATCTCAGCTCATTGACGCGCGAGCTGGCTCGATTTCCCTATCTCTAGTTATTTTGATGCATTTTCCGGTGAGCTCCCACTATCTCCTTGACCTCCTCTTGCCACCAATACCTTCTTGGGTGAGCTCCCATAAAAAAATTGTGTTTTTAGTTCTAGCTCGCGAGCTGTCTAATACCAGTACGAGCTGCCATTCAAGCTCGACTTGAGCTCACAATTTGCCAGACAAGCCGAGCTCGAGCTTGGCGTGGCTCGAGCTTGATTCGACTCGTTTGCACCCCTAAGTGGCAGTATCTTACTCTTCCCATTGTTGTACGCGGTGCGCCTATGCCTGAGTAAAAGCTGCAGAAGAAAGAAAAAAAAGGAGTTCTGTACAAATTTGCTAATCCAACACAACTGTGAACTCTCTAGTAAACTATTTCTATAGGCTTAAATTGTTAAGATGGCCTAGTTTCTGTTGCAGTATGATGGAAACACTGAATCTTTATTCTTTGAAATACATTGTTTCTTTGACAATGAGGTTTAGTAAAGTATTTTTCTGCTGTAATTTTGTATTGCTATATAGAGTAATTTATTCCATTTCAATGCATTTAAGTTCTTAAATATCTCAATTATATCCATTTTGGTTGTATGCCTTTTTTTTAACCATCCATTTTAATGTCTTATTTTATCAAAACTTAACATTTTTGGACCATCTGTTATGTCTCCTTTTTGGAATTGATTGAAGTTGGTCTCAGGAGTTTTTAGTTGAAAGGATAATTTTTATCATTGAATCTGAGCAATTGCATAAAAGGCCCTTTTTAGTGACTAGAGACCCTCTATAGTTTTGAGTGATGTATCGACAATTGAAAAGGGTGTCGGGATCTCCTATAAAGTTGTGAAAGGGTTGGGGAATAGTGATGAGATCTGATCAAACCTCATCCACACTAGCAATTTTAGGGGGCGTTTACATGCATATCACTCAGTTCGTATGTAATTACGTACCTCACACCAAAACTTTCTTATTTACACGCATAACACTCAAATCTTTAATATCACATCAAAAATAGCATTTTTATCACTTTTTAAAAGTTAAATATGCATTTTCATGCATATGAAAGTTTAGGTGTGGGACATTTGAAGGCATAAGAATTGCGTTCTACGTATGTAAATTTTTAAAATTGCAACATCAACCTTGCTTACCGCGGCTTCTGTCAATTTCAAATGGGTGAGATAACAGAAGGGCCTAAAAAACTAGGACTTGATAAATTGAGTGGTACTAATATGGACACACCAAAGTAGCTTTTGTAATCACTTTTAGACCTTTTTTTCTATGAACACTGCAAGATGCAAACACTTGATGAATTACATGGTAAATAATTGGTTGTTTCATTTCATATATTAATTGTAGCTTGTTAACAATTATTTTTCAGGCTTCTCACACCGCCCGGTACCTCTTTCCATCTCTGGAAAAGGAGTCTCACCGATCTCCTATAAGACATCTTTCTACTCCAAAAGGCCCCCCTGTTCTTATGAAATCTAGAGTAAGTGATAAAAATCTTATGAAAATCTCTTTTAATGTTTCTTATTAAACCTTACTTTATTACAAGCCGTGATGTTGATATTTGCAGCATTTATCTAAGTTGATAGCTTTTGTAAACAACTATTTTTAATGACTTCCATAGCACTTTGGCTTTTGTATTCTTTCTCTTATTGTGAATCTTTTGTTTCTTTGTCCCTATTAGTTAAAATGTTGGAGCTACATTGATTGGTAGCCTGACATGAGATAACATGAATGCAGTATCGAGATTTAGGGGAACAATATGTACCCTTTGAAATTAGTCAAGTGTAGGTGCTGGAATTTAAGTTCTATTATAATAAAACTTGAAAATGAAGATGATGATTCCATGCAAAAGAAAAAAAAAAGAAGATAGATGGATATTAATCTAGTGATAGAGAGAGAGAGAGCATGAATAATATTAGCTTTAGATCATGAAGATGATGATTCCATGCAAAAGAAAAAAAAAATGAAGATAGATGGATATTAATCTAGTGATAGATAGAGAGAGAGAGCATGATAATATTAGCTTTAGATTTAATGTTGCAAACTTAGATCGTACTTGTTTGCAATAAACTACTTAGTAAATCGTTGAACTTATAATGCAATGAAATTTTAAGATTTATTGTTTTTGTTTTACCCAACATAACTTAAAGGACTTGCTAAATAGATTATTGTTTGCAATAATACTTGAGTAATTTACATGATTTGTTCACATGATCTTCTAATCACAATGGAGAAATATTAATTAATGCTCCATGCTCATCAATTATTTAAAATAAATGTTTCCAATTCATTATCATCTAGCTTAATTATATCATTGATTTGATTGAAAACTAGGTTTATAGATTCTCTTATTTTATTTCCTAGAAACAATGACTATTTGCATTGTTTGCAATTATAATTTTGTAATTCATTGCATTTTGATGCTTTCACTAAGGAATTCTTTACTTAATCTATTGTTTTATCACCATTTTCATGACATTTTCAAGTTTTTTTAAACTCATGCAATTTCTATATCATACTCCCAGTTGGCGAATCCTCCTGATCCTTCTTCAAGAAGCACTACAGCTTCCACGCAACTGATGAACTCTTCTCTTTTGGGAATGAGAAGACCCTCATCTTCTGGAGGATCTAGTGTCACTTCTTCTAGGCCTCTGACTCCTAATGGCCGGCCTTCATTGCCGACAGTATCCAAACCATCCAGATCTTCAACTCCTACTTCTCGTCCTACAGTATCCACGAGATTAGCGGCTCCCCCGCCTAGATCATCCTCACCTGCTAGGTCTTCTACACCAGCATCAAGATCATCTCTACCACCAGCCAGCAAGCCTTCATCCAGGTCAGCTACCCCAACTAGAAGGCCTTCTACGCCGTCAAACTTACCTGCTAGTTCTGCTCCGCCAGGCCGGTCTACATCTGCCACTAGGTCTGGTACTGCCACGAGTTCTGTAGCAAGGTCAAGTTCTTCAACAACTACTTCAAAATCTCAACCAGCAATGCCTATTACTCGGTCCATATCCACAACTTCTAAAACTGCGGCTCCATCTCGAGGAACTTCTCCAACTGTAAGGTCTAGACCCTGGAAACCTTCTGAAATGCCTGGTTATTCTCTCGACGCACCTCCAAATTTGAGAACATCATTACCCGAGAGACCGTCTTCTGCTTCCCGGGGCAGACCAGGACCGCCCAGCTCCAGATCATCTTCAGTGGAGAATCGGCCAAGTACAAGACCCAGGCAACAGTCTTGCTCCCCTTTGCGAGGAAGGGCTCCTAATGGAAATTTTGGTGGTGGTGGCGGTAGCAACAGCTCCATTCCAGCATTAAACAGATCACGGTTGAACAACACCGACAACGAGAGTCCAGTTGTCATAGGAACCAAGATGGTTGAGCGGGTGGTGAGCTCGAGAAGACTGGCACCTCCAAAGAACGACGAGCTGCATTCCACCATTAATTCCTCGGGTAAATCCACAGTGACACCAGAAAGTGCTGGTTTTGGGAGAACACTATCAAAAAAATCGCTCGACATGGCTCTGAGACATATGGTAATGAACTTCTCACCATTTATTTTTATAACAATTCCTCATGCAAGTCTGCTACATTGATTTTGATTACAAATTAGCACTTATGGCACCTTTATTCCATAGCATTATTTTGATTTTGGCTTCTATTTACATCATCAATAGGATATAAGGAGGAGCATGCCTAATAACCTGCGGCCATTGATGGCTAACATACCAGCATCCTCCATGTACAGCGTGAGGTCAGGGAATTCGAGAAGCAGAGTAGTTAGTATGTCAGATTCTCCTCTTGCCACCAGCAGCAATGCGAGCTCCGAGCAGAGTGTCAGTAACAATGCATTCTTTTTGGATGGAAATGAACTCTTGGATGAGTTTTGCAGTGATAAAGGAGGTATCTCTTCTCCTTCATTTTCAATGGGAAGATGATCACTGGATTTGTTTCTCTTGTCTGCCATTTTGTGTGATCTTGGAAGATTGTTTCCCTTATGCATCATCAATTCCATGGCAGCATTGCTGCGTCTAGTTACTTTCTTGTAAGCCTTAAAATATTGATTCCGATTCTGCCTGTTTTTTATATGGTATTTGTTCAAGGGATATTTTTGATGCATGTAAAAGATTCGATCACACTATTATAGAAATTATGAAGTGATGCTCTCCTTTGGAGGCTCTGTTCGTAGTGGTGTCTTTGTTTTGATGTAACTCTGGCTTCAGTTGCTATATTGTTTGGCTGTTTTGTTATGTTTTTTGGTAATAAATCAAGTCATTTTAACTCTTGTAGAGTGAACAATAAGCTTGCTTTCTGTGGTTATTAATAATAAGCTATCCTACTCAAACTCCATATTTGACCTTATTGAGTATGATCTTTTTGACCCTCTTTACTCTTAGACATGAATCGTGGTAGAGCTTGTATCCTCCAACTTGAATCGTCGAGGCTTGCATATCTCAATGTTTTTTTTTGGCTAAACTATGAGAATTTTGATAAAAAAAAATCTCTGTAATTCAAATTTCATTTTGCATCTATTTTCTTCTGGTGGCAATTTCTATCAAATATTTGAGGATCTCAAACATTTAGACTCGATGTCAACTCTAATATTTGTAGCTTTGATATGAAAAATTTTGGCATCTTTGGGGATCTCGTCATAACGCTCAATGTCAACCCAAGCAATGAGCCCTCTGACTTGTAAGTAAAAATTAAATATATTTTATATAAATATTATAAAAATGCCCCCAATTTTACTGGGGGATTTTGATGGTGTAACGTAGTTTGAGAATACAAACTCAACATTAGCTCAAATGAACTAAAAAAAATGCTCCTAGTATTGCGGGAAACATTTACAGTAACTTTGAATGCATTCTTGTTCTACAATAGAATTTCAAATATATATGAAAACAAAACAAATTATTTTCATTTTCAAATGAAATTTTGAACTTAACATCCATGAGTTAGTCATTGTGTGTATTACTTTTTCAAGTATCGACCATTGATGAGAGGTATTGATCTTTGACCTTCTAAATTGATAAGCTGACATACTCCTTGATAAACTTTTTCAATAACAGAGGAGCCCTCCCAGTTAGACATAAATTTGCCACCAACTTTTTGATGGGAAATGATTGGCCTTCTCAGCACTAGCATCAATTCCCTTTTCTGGAATGTTCTGGAACGCACCTTATGATCAAAGGCTTGGGACATATTTGCCCTGTAAATTTCCAGGTTCTGTTGAGCTTGGAGTCTCATTTCATCCGGTGCATCTAACTCTTCCATTCTCAAACCAACATTTTGCTCCTGTGTAAGATTATACTGGACAACAAATCGAAGTGATAGCAACTCAACTTCAAGTGGTAATACTGCTTATGCTCCAAATACCGATGCATAAGAAGTAGCTTTAGTTGGTGCTTTATAAGTTGTGCGATAAACTCACAACGCTTCCATCATCTTAGTATGTCATCTCGTTTATTTTTAGTGAGGACTTTCTTGAGGAGCTTAAAAAGTGTCTTGTTGAAAGCTTATGCTAAACCATTTGCCTTTGGGTTGTATATCGAAGAATATCGCTAATCAATCTTGTGTCGATCGATGAATTTGTATATATTCGTGCTTTTAAAAGCTAGGCTATTATTCAAAATAATGCAACGTGGCACACCAAATCTATAGATAATATTGAGTGAAGAAATTTATCACTTAGCAGTAACTTCTCTAAATGAGACAACTTCCGCTCATTTTGAGAAATAATCAGTTGTAGCTAGGATGAAGCGGTGTCTTCTTGATGACAGTGGATCAATCGACCCGATCACATCCGTACCTCAACATTCAAACAACCGGGATGCAATGGTTGGGTGTAATGGGTTATGCACCCGGTGTATTACATCTTCATGAATTTGACATTCATGACATTTTGTCGTATGCTCAATGCAATCTTTCACTATTGATGGGCAAAAATAACCAGTTCTTTTGATTTTCATTTCCCGATCACATCCATACCCCAATTTAGGTGTGCGCCACAAAGTCTTTCAAGCACTTCAGCTTCGTCTGACCCCAGACATCGTAGCCACATTTGTTCAAAAGATCTACGGTAGAGGGTTTCATTGACAAAAGTAAACCGTAGGGCTCTCTTTTTTATTTGTGCAGCTATCATTTTATCTGTAGGCAGTTTTCCTTCTTGGAAATAATCAATGAAGGGCTGCTTCCAACTATCTCATTCCTCTGTTGTGAGTGTCTCATACTGATTTTGAGAAAATATCTGGAGGGAGCGTGAGGAGCAACAAAAGTTACATCTTGCTTGCTTGAACTTAATGACTCCTCTGCATGCAGGAGTTTTGAGTCAAACTTTTCCAAGACTCGTCGAGTATGCACGTCGAGTAATATTGGCTCAAAATTCATGTTGGCCATCTCTTTAGCTAATTTAGCTAAATAGTTAGCTTTACTGTTTCACGCTCGAGACACTCGGGTTAGTGTGCATGCAATATTTGCTTCATCAGCTCAGTAGCCCTTTTATAATAAAAAGCTAATTCAATCTTATTTATTGTATAGATACCCAACACTTGATTTATGACTAGCTATGAATCACAAAAAAATGTGAAGTTTTTTAGCTTTAATGTGATAGCTATCTCGAGGCTAGCTATCATAGCTTCATATTCAGCTTCAATACTACTCTCGGGCCCAGTTGATCTATATGAATACCTCATTATGCCTCTCTTTGGTATCACAATGATAAAAATCAATGTCGACTCGTGCTTTTGGAAGATCTGGAGGTTGGACAGGCTTGATGGAAGGGGCTCCATGAAAATATAACTCCAAAATTTGCAGTTTCTCATTCTCCTGAATGATTAGAACTTGCTCCTCGAGCAAATCATCGTTGAGTGGAGAATCAACAGGAATTGGAGGAACAACAAGAAAATCTGCCAGAACTTGTCCTTTCACTGCTTTTGGAGGAACATATGTGATATCGAATTGTAAGAGCGGGACTGCCCATCGAGCCAGTGAATTGATGCGATGAGGATGATTTTGTGAGACAAACATGTAATGAAAAAACTTTTGAGTAGCGAAAACGAATGCCAAATAATGTTTCTCAATTGAAGAATATCTCATTTCAACTCCTATAATCCTTCGACTGATATAATATAGAACATCATTGCCTTCTTCATTGTGTTGAGCCGACAGAGCTCCAAGGGATGTTTCTAATGCTGCTATGTACAAATGAAGAGGTTTCCCTAGAGTTGGCGTTGAAAGAATGGGTGGGCTTAAGAGGTATTTCTTAATACTACCAAAAGCCTCTTGACATTCAACATCACATTTAAATGGAGCGTTCTTCATCAACTTTGAAAATGACTGACATCGGTCTGATAAGTTGGATATGAATGCACGTTGTCCTTGCAGAGAACGAAGCTGAAAAAATTTTTGGGGGAGACATCTCAACAATTGCCTTGATTTTATTGGGATCAATTTCAGTTCCTTTATGGCGTACGATATACCTAAGAAATTTTCCTGATGATACCCCAAAAGCACATTTAAGAGGATTCATTTTGAGATCAAGTTTTCTGATCCTTTCAAAGACGATCCACAAGCCTTTCAAATGATATCGAAACTAGAACGTCAACTTAACACTCCACCTTTTGATGGATCAAATAATCAAATGTATGAGTCATGATTCTTTGTTATGTTGCTCCCACATTCTTTAAACCAAATGACATAATCGTATAACAATAAATTTCAATTGACATTCTGAATGATGTATGTTTTTCATCTTCAAATGTAATTTTGATCTAAATATATCTGGATGGTCTATCCATAAAGGAGAACATATCATAATTTGATGTGTTGTCCACGAGCAATTCTGTCAGAGGGAGTGGAAAATCATCCTTCAGACATGCCTTATTGAGATCCCGAAAATCGATGCAAAAGCGAATTTGGCCGTTCTTTTCTCTCACAGGCACAATGTTGGCTATCCAATCATACATTTCTCCTCTCTTATGAAGATTGTTTCAATGAGCTTCTTGGGTTCGGTAATCACATGTTTTTCAATTCCAAGTCTCATCCTCCTTGAATCTTGTTTAACATGTTTGCATCTGGATTGATAACTAACTTGTGAATTGCTATATCAGGAGATGAGCCGGGCATTTAGTATATGATCGAGTGAAGCAGCCTCTAAATTCACAGAGCAATGTTTTTATCTTTTCAATTTTTTCTTCTGACAAAAGTGCATTGACGAAAGTTCTCATGAAAGAACCGACCAAAAAGATCACGAAGTTTGAGAGACATCACATGCTTAAATGCATTGGTAAGAAGCAAGCTGGACAATTCTTACTTCATAGCATCATGGTTTTGTCGAATATTAAGATATTGTGACTAGACATATATCAGTTAGACATTGAAACTGATATAACCAATACAACATGTCTCCTGACATGGTGATGAAAATCATCCTAGTCAAAGATGGTGTCAAATGTGTGTCACATGAACAAAACAATCCAACCTTGCAACACTTTTGTAAGCTTTAGCAAAGCAACCATAGCTAGAGATTTTTAGGGGGCATGAAGATATCTCGCCCATGCAGGGATCAACCAAGCAAACTCATGGCTTGAATTGATGCAACACTTCTTTTGACATGGTGAATAGAGTCACACCAATTGACACCTCTAATTTATATATTGAATATCAATATATTTAATAAATAATGTAAGATATATTATGCTAAATAATGGAAAATTAAACTTATTAAATTTTGATGCAAATTTTATAAGGCACATTGGATGACAAGTTATTTATATCCACTAGTTAAGAATGCTATCAATTTTTTTTTCAATATCCAACACTCATAATATTTACATCTATGCCATCTTTAATTGAATGTTAGAACTTTTTTATTTAAGAGATAAAATTAGGGATGTCAATTTAGGTTCATGGGTCCAGTTTGAGTGTGACATGAAATTGACCAGATTAGAAACTGTTTAACCTGAAAACTATCCGAATATTAAAAATGTTATAAAATTCAACCCAAACCTGACCCCCATAACCAATTTAACATAACAAATAATAGCTATCTGAGCAATTTTCGAGTCCATTTTAGGTCAATCTCATGTTGTCAGGTCAATGTCAAGTTAATTTTGGGTTTACTGGTATGTTTCTGGTTAATTTATGGTTGGAGGATCAACTCGAATGAGACCCTCGACTCGAAAATAGACTCGAAAATAATTGGAGTCCACTCGAATACGAATGTTTCGAGTCAAATTGCTGCGTCTTCAATATTTTACACCCCAAAGTAAAATATATGATGGTCAGAAAAATTTATCATAATACTTAAATTGTTATCGGTAATGTCTAATATAAAATTTTCAATTTATATAATATAAATTGTATTTTATTAAAATTTTTGTATTAGTTATATAAAATATAATAATTATGTATAATGCATGTTAATCCTCATAAATATAATATACACTTTAAAAATTAGCATCATAAAAGCATTTTGAAATTCTTGATGGAGGAATATTAAAATTTTACTATATTTATAAAAAAAAAAAATTGAAGCCCCGAAAATTTCCTTTAAATAAAAGTCTTATATATCTTAAAATAAATCTTCACAAATTTTTTTGATTAAAATGAGTTTTCTTAAGTAAAATATTAAATTTTATTTGAAACTAAAAAATGGCCTTTAACACATAAAAAATAGTGTTAACAAAACTTATATATATATATTGTGCCGCATACTTCGGTCTGTTGGATTGCATCGTTAGTGTAAAACTTCTCAGGTCGAGAGTTCAAATTCCCCCATGACGACGTGTAGAAATTATTCAATATGGACACCACATTCCGATATCTACCATTGATCACCGTGATCAAGTTTTTTTTTTTTAAAGTTAAAAAGTGAGGCTCACCGAAATACATATTGTGGTGATCGACGACGGAGATCGGACACCGCATACATCTCTACGGTGCCCGCATAGAATACTTTTTCGACGACATAAACCGTAAAGAGAGTGGTGCTCGAATTATTAGACATATTAAACATCTCTACGGTGCCCGCATAGAATACTTTTTCGATGACATAAGCCGTAAAGAGTGGTGCTCGAATTATTAGACATGTTAAGAGTGATTGTAACACACTCATATATATACATATATATATATATATATATATAATATATATATATATATATGATAATTTCAGAATAAAAATAAAAAAATTAATAATAATTATATAATTAATTTAAATAAAATTATAATTATACATTAGTTTTAATTAAAAAAAATTATACCGACGATTTTTTTAGAGTTTCCGTTAAAGGCTAATGGGCTCTGCTTCATACCTCGTACTGTGTACGTACATTTTTATTTTTATTTGTGTATTTATTTTCCCATCTGCGTACGGACGCTCGGGCCTTGTGGGGCCCGCGGGCTCTGTATTTATTGCCCATTTCCTAAAAAAAACTGCTGATTTAAGGAGACTTCCTACACCGCCAACCACCCACTCTTATACAGTGCCACGTGTACAGATAGAACTCCATAAAACCAAGTGGCCCATGTTTCATGACGTTTAAATAAATCTTATGAATAAATTCTGTTAGTAGGGCTCCATATTAATGAGTGTTTATTGTATGTTTACACGTAAATTTGTATGCGGTGTCAAATCTGTATCACTGAAATATATATATATATATAGCACGAAAATTTTTCGTGCGGTGTCTACAACAAAGCCTTAATCACACTACGTGGGGTCGGCTACGTGAATCCTTTTTCTCAATTGCGTTCTATTTAGTATCCTATTTTCATTTAGTTCTAGTAAATTAAGATCATTTTTTATATAACAAGCCCAAGTCTTCCAAGGCCTACCTCCGTCTTTCTTAACACAAGTTGAATCTAAAACATCTACTCTCCTAATCGGATCATCAGATGGTCGACGTTTAATGTGACCAAACCATCTGATGATCAATAACCGGATGACACCTCAACATATATGAGAAAGTTGTGCCCGATTATTGATGGTCCATAGTCGATATTTTCTCCTATCAAATACTCCCTAAATCACGATAAAATATTCTGCCCGGACATTACACGTCCGGACAGCCAATCACAGAACGATAGTTGGGACGAAATATTTTCTACTAAATTATAACAAAGAGATTACGGTCAAATATTTTTCCTTGGCCGGACCGAGCGATTCAAAACCGCTGATAGTGAACGGAGTGAAAAAAAAAAAAGGAGAAAAAATATGTCTTTTTATCGTTTTCCGAATGGCTGGCTGCATCTTCAACAAGTCGCTGTTGTTTCGTTTTCAGTTCAGGGTTTCTTGCCTTTGTGTTCCGTCAACTTGAGGTTCAGTAATGGCTGAAACGTGATTTTCAAACGGTCGGTGGAAATTATGACCATCAACCTCTGGTCGTCGGAGAAGAAGGAAGATAAGGGAGGAGGAATCGAGGTAAAAAGAAAACGAACTGCGTTGGGGAGTTTTCTCCCACTGCTGGTCTTATTGAAGTCCGGGCTGGTGAAGGTGAAAGAATATTAGGGTTCGAGTTGGTTTATATGGGGATTTTGTGACGCCTTTCCCGTTTTTTATCAATTGCTGGAGTATATAGTGAGAGATAGAGAACGCTTGCAGGTGCGAAGGGTTTTTTACTGCTTTTATGCTCATTTAGAGGAGCTTTTGAAAATGTGTGAAACTTGGCTATGCTGTACAGATTTCATAATTGTGTGGTGTGGAGCAGTCTTGAAATTAAGATCTGTAGTGATTTGGATGCTTTGGTGATAAATATAATGACATTATTACTTGATTTTTGTGTAGTTTTTGATCTAGAAATAATAATTTGTCATTGATGTAATATATTGCGTGGTTAGCTGAACAGTTTTGCTTTTTACTGCTTTTATGCTCATTTAGAGGAGCTTTTTGATGAGAAAATGTGTGAAACTTGGCTATGCTGTACAGATTTCATAATTGTGTGGTGTAGTGCAGTCTTGAAATTAAGATCTGTAGTGGTTTGGATGCTTTGGTGATAAATATAATGGCATTATTACTTGATTTTTGTGTAGTTTTTGATCTACAAATAATAACTTGTTATTGATGTAATAAATTGCGCAGTTAGCTGAACAGTTTTGTTCTTCTTTGTAGGTTAAGAAGCTGTTGTAGAAGTTAGAGGAAGGGAACAGTGTATCGATAGAATGGGAGCAACGTTTAGCTGCTTTATTGCACCAAAATCATCTCAAACAAAGAAGAATTCAAGTGAATCCACCATTGGTGAGTATGCTGAATCTTAAATGGTTTTCCCCGCGTTAAGACTAGGAATTTGATTGTAAGGAAACAAAATAATAGTACAAAAATAAGTTTGAAAAGCTCAAACTTATGGTTATAGATTTATAATTTACTCATAAATTATTCAGTTTATATGGCTTAGCTGCTTTGGTGCACCAAAATCATTTCCAAAGAAATAAAAATAAAAAACATTCAAATGAATTCACCATGGATGAGTAAGGTGAACTTGATTGGTTTCTCCTTTGTTAAGGGTTTGGATTCCAGGAATATGAGCAAAAAAGAAAATGAAAAAAAAAAAAAATGAAAACCTCAACCCATAAATTATTGGGATTTCATTTCATTACTTTAACCTTTTTTTACTACAAACAAAGCTTAAGTGTTTCTCTGGTCCTGCTAAATGGTATAGTTAATGCATTTATATTATTTGTCTTGCTAAATTGTACATGTTAATGCATTGTATTATTGTAGCATTGTGGTATAAATCCAAGCTTTATGTTGTTTGCATCATGAGCTTCCATTTCTTAATGATTAATGCCTTTTTGTATTGTTATTTACCATACCTTTAACATAGTTTTACTTGCATGCTATAGTAATTTGTTTGGATGGAGGCAGTTGTAATGGTTTTAGCTTGACAATATTTAATATTCAATTCGGGATATGGTGTTTAAAAGTAATGAGGAGGATTTGATGCTTCACAATGCCTTCTTTGTCTCTTTCAACTTTGTTCGTTAGATGTGAGAAAGTTTAAAAGGCAACCAATTATTAGCCTGCAAATCCATAAATTATACCATTGTGTCATTTCTAACTTTCTTTTTTCATTGTTCTTGCTCTGAATTCTTTGGATCTTGCCCTGAAGGAAATTTTGGCACACTATCCCAGTCACTAAACAGCATCCGCATGTTTAGTTATAATGAGATGATTTCAGCAACAAGGAGTTTTCATCCAACAAATAGAATAGGGCGTGGTGGATTTGGAATTGTGTATAAAGTAAGCCTTTATATGAATGTTTTTATCATTATTGCTAATCTATTGGCGTTTCTCCAAGTCATTGATCATTAATTCATTACATTTTTGTTCTTCATATGCAGGGTTTATTAAAGGATGGAACCCAAATAGCAATAAAATCACTTTCCACTGAATCAAAACAAGGAATCCATGAGTTTTTGACTGAAATTGACATGGTATCAAATATTAGGCATCCAAATCTTGTTCGATTGATTGGTTGTTGTGTTGAAGGCACTAACCGAATGCTTGTTTATGAATACATGGAAAATAATAGTCTAGCTAGTGCTCTACTTGGTAAGACCAAAAGCATTTCTGCATAGTATGGATTTGAATCGAAATTATACATTGAAGGCTTGAATTTAAACGTTTCAGGCGCTTATAATAAACAAATTGCTTTGGATTGGGCAAAAAGGGCTGCTATTTGTCTGGGCACAGCTAATGGGCTTGCGTTTCTTCATGAGGAGGCCGAGCCTCACATTGTCCATCGTGATATCAAGGCTAGTAATATTTTACTTGACGAGGATTTTCTTCCAAAAATAGGAGACTTTGGTCTAGCAAAGCTTTTTCCTGACACAGTGACTCACATTAGCACACGGGTGGCTGGGACTATGTAAGTACTATTGTTGAATTTTGAGAACCAGTATTGCACGACATAACATGGATAATGCTCTCTAGTTCTTGTGAAATTCTCAATTAATGCTGATTCATGATGCAATACATTGACTCCACAGATGACACTGAAAGACATGATTAATTTCTATAATCCTTTTGGGTCGAGTGTCTTGCATGGGGTTGCTACTTATTGAATTAATTCCCCTTCAACTATCATTTTTTATGTTTAAAGCTCCCATTAAGTACATCACATGCAACATATTCATTCTGTCTTTTTTTTATATTTTATTTTCAGCATCTTTAGTACATGCAGATTTTTGGGAGTAGCAGCATCAGCACTTCAAGTCCTTTTATTCACAAGTTTTATAAAGTTGCAATGACGATGTGGCTCTTGCTAGCAGTTTGAAACATGAAGATTAAGTAAGCTAGTGAACTCAATTATGAACTTTAAGAATCAATTCATCCTCATATGGCAATCAATAAGAATAAATTGATAAGGAGAATTCACTAAACCAACCCCAATTAATTGGAATCCGGCAGTTATGATGGTGATGATAAGCCACATTACAATTATTTAGGCACCAATATGAAGAATCTAGCAAGTTGTTTTTAATCACGTTTGATGCACTTTGACCCGATCAATCTTCTAAAGTAGTTTGGGATCATTTTTCAACTTATTGCCATGTTAAACATGATTAGGATGAAAATGAGAAAAGAAAAAACTCCACATTTACAACTTGGATTTTTTTCCATACACAATTTAGCTCTTTAAAGCATTCAATTGGCCTAACAAATAATGAAGTTTCATTCATTCATCAATTAATAATAATAATCAATTACATGCCATCAATCCCTTTTTATAGAAATTTTACATGGATAAGGCCAAAATTTAAATCCAAAATACTATTATTAGACAAGCTAAATCCTATTCAAATATTCAAAACTTATTTTATGGAAAGAGAATAATTTAACCAAATGAAATAAATTAATTACAATTTTAAAAATTAAACAACGTTGAGTATGATTATGATATGATAAGGGTTGGAAAGTATATTCAGTTGAATTGATTTGTTGTTGGATTAGACTCCTTTGATTGGCTTTTGAAAATTTTACTTCTTTTGGGCCAAGCTAGCTAATTTTTATTGCAATAATGGACCCCATTGGCAAAAACCTCCACTGTTGACGTGCTGACGAGTTTAGTGGAGGCCATGGAGAAGGAAGTTGCATCAATAGATCATCTCATGGAAGAAATGTCCATGCAATATAAAAAGTAATATGAGGGAGTTTAAGGGTTGTTTGGTTGAGTGAATTTGTGGTGTATTGTAATTCTTTTGCAGAGATTTGAGAAAATTCTCTGTTTGTATGATGAATTACAAATACAATGTAAAGTATGAATGAATTTTAAGTGTACACTGTAGTTCATTTTGACTAAATTTAAAATTCTTTTGATTTGACTGAATTTGACTTAGTGTTCACATAAAATGCTATAGGCAAGCTACCTCACTCGCTGTCGCATCCCAACAGAGCAACCAGCTGCATGCCTCCACCGCCTCTGCCTTTCAGTGCCACAGTCGTCGCTAGTTTCTTGTCGACTGTCGCAACCAAAGTTCGCCGCCGGTCGCTTGTCGGCCCCTCTGTTGCCGCTGTACAAAAAATATATTTGAAATAACTTTTTTTTTTCAATTTACTTCATTCCAAATAAAAAAAAATGTAGTCTTACGTTTATTTTATAGCGAATCAAAAGACTTGAAAGTATTTCAAATATATTGTAACCATAGTACTCAGTAAACTTTTTACGTTGCATTTCATTTTTAAGGAATATATAAAAATTCCGACTTCGATGTTGGGTGGCTCCAAACTTTATACATTTGGATGATCTTTGCAATGTGGAACAAGAATGGATTATATGGAAATAAAAATATAAATTTAATCTCTTTGGAACTAATATAAATAGTAATCATATGAAGTAGCATGTCTTTTTTGACATTTTTTTATCATATAAATTATAAGATTAAATCTTTCAAGGTGTAAAATTTGTCTAAAGAATGCTTCACCCTAGGAGCCTGCTCTATACATGAACCTGAAAAAAATAAAAATCATAAGTATGAAAATCAGCACATGCACAAATAAATAAACATAAAAAAAAATAATAACAGACTGATTGCTGCTGGGTTGATAATATATTACAGGAAAACAAAAGACAGTCAAGTCACATTCCACATAAACAACATGATTTAAGGCTATACAATAATATTTCTTGTAATTAAGATATGAGACATTAGCAGGCTACTTCTTGTCCTCTCCGAGACATGGTCTTGATCTCATGCTCTAAGGAACTCATGTTTGTACCTTATTTCTAATATAAACTTAATTCTAGACTCTAAAATTATATATTAAACTCAAAAGATTATAGGCAATACCTATAAAATAGATGTTAGTATGCAGACATACAAAGCATGCAATTTTAAAGAGTTATATTAGATGAGAGAATTACTTAGCTAGCACCTACAAAAAAGATAATATCCTAACATTTAAATTTTTAGCTTTTCCTCTAGTTATTGTAACTCCTTGTAGAAGATCGCAATGCGTGTATCTCATACTCGGTGAACACAAAAAAATAAATATAAAATATGTGACTAGACACAAATTAATATTGAACAATAATCACATGCATGAAAATATTGATTACATTCTTTCCTAATATAAACAAACATCTAAGAGGGGTGCGTTAATCACATACACATAATAAGTGTGTGCAAATTAGTATGACGTAAGACAAACTCATATAATTTTAGTATAGCCACCAAGTCTGGGGCCCACTCTAAGGATCTAAATAAACTAACATTCATCACTCTGATGTTGATGTATTAATTTTAAAATAGATTTTAAAATATAATCATATTAGTAAAAATGGATTTTTTTTTGTTTTGAAAATTGTTATCTCATTTGGTCTAAATATTATATAACTTTGTTTAAAATATATTTTGAAATATGATTATAAATTATAATTTTTATAAAGTAAATTATTTTGAAACATGGCCTTAACTATGTCTATAGCAATCAAAGTGATACCTTTTAGATTACTTAGATGCTTAGCAAAATCATAAGAATATGATTCTAATATGATAATTTACATTGTTTGAAAGAGAAATTCAAGAACAATATTCATTAACACATTAAAATCAAGGGTTTATCTCACATCTACTAGGAGGTTTATCATGAAAGTGCTGACTCGCTTAAATCTATATGCTAACGTTATATGGTTGTACTAATGGGTTACAAAAGAAAGTGTCTCATGCAATGAATACAACATACGTGTTTGAAATACATTCTCAAACACTTGAGATAAAAATGTAGAAGAAAGGGCAACACATCAGTAGCACAATACATATGCATAGTGATGGTTTATGGTAGGTGTGCCCCAAACGAATGGCATTAAGAAATGTGATGCATGTATACACGACTGAAGAAATCATATGCTTGAAGTTCATTTTTAGGAGTATAATGCATTGCATTAAACTATGCAAAAGAGTTAACATAACACACTAAGGGTCTATTTGGGGCAACTGCAGTTGTTTGAAGAAGCAACTCTGAAATTGCTGTTCAAAAATCTGCGATGGCTATTTCAATTTTTTTTTTTGAAAAAGTCAGATTGCAGTTTTCTAGCAGACACCGCATATAACTAGGTTCGGTGAGAAAACGTAGCTTTCAGCTGTAACTTTTTGAAAGAACATGCAAAACACAGTTTTGTCAAATAAAAAAAAAACTGTGGTGCGGCACCACTCCGCCTCCTCAAATGATCCTTAAGTGTTTATTATTCAAGCCAACATGCAAATTAAATGTGCTTGACTAGCTTGTAATACACAGATAAAATGCTATCTTTGAGCATAATATGACAAACAATTGATAGTTCTAGATTTTAAAAAAACCATGATATGATTAATTACAAAAGTTTTAAGTTATTTATTCATTACAAGGTCATACATGATCATTAGTTTAAGGAACTAATACCTCTCACCATGACATTGAACTGTTAATTCATTTTTCTACTTGGCAAGAAATGAGAGAATTTAAATATTTTATGAATTAGCTAGTTGAGTAACCGAATATTCAACATCCTAAAAATGAAGATGGTTATTGTAATAACTGAAATAAAATAATAATGATAATAAATAAATAAGATGCATGCAGTTAGAGGAGACTCATCCCCTTGTAATAATTATATTGCTCTTTCCTTCGCACTTCTCCTCATTCGGGCCATCGAATGAGAGAGGGAGAGAACAACAGCGAAAAAGGGAAGAAGGGAGAAGCTTCATTCCAACCCTAATTTGTGACTTGTTTGTGAGCAAAGGAATAAGGTGCAGGAAAAGGAAGCAACGACAGTGAAGGGAGAGGAAGAAAAAGGAGTGTGTCTCTTGTGAGTGATCATTCTCTACTCCTATTGGACCATTTTTCTCATTCCCATGTTGAAAATTCGGCTAGAGGTGGTTGAACTTGGTCAACTTATGCTAAAAATCAATTAAATCCAAAAGCATCTTGGCATGGTGCCTTGGGCACACGCTGGCTCTTGTGGGCATGTGCAGGCACAAGCTAGTGTGACTAAAGCAGGCATGGGCACGTAGAGCACGGTATGCGTGCATGGGGATTCCCTTCAGCCATGTGGGATTTTCTTGGAATATTTTGGACGATATAAATCACATGAAATTTGTATATGACCCAAAATATTAAACATGTTGCCCATAAATATTTTTGCATAATAAATGCAGTGGAAATTCAGCTGGGGCTGGAATTTCAATTGGAAGTTGGAGATAATCAGTTGCTGGATTTGATAATAATATAAGAATCTATAAAAATAATTGTCTTCTTGTCTCTTCATTCATAATCCCTATCGCTCCGAAGTATTGCTAAAGTCCCCATAGGAAATTGTCCACTTCCTTCGAGTGGCGAGCTCCTTCAAAACTATTTGGTTTTGGAACTTCAATCCTCTTTGCTTCGAAGTTGTGATGGTTGGTGGGTGTCTCTAGTGCCCTCTTGCATAGCGAGATGTCTCCACACATTTCGTCCAAGCTTAGCCTGTACGTCGCTTATCTCTTTTTCATGGGCTCTTCGTATTTTCTGGAGCTCCCCATCAAATCCTCCCGCATCTTAGCCATTTGATCCCTTTAGGATTCCTCGAGTTAGAGCATCACACCTCTTATATTTGAATGAATTGTGATGTCCTCTTCCTCGAGTCCATCAACCTCTTGTCCAAGATCTTTTATCTGGGCCTCCATGCCATTCATCGCCTCCTCCACCTGAGCATGGTGCGAATCAAAGCCGCACATGATCTCCTTGAACATCCCATGTGGTTTGGATGCAACTGGATTTCGTTGCTCCTGACAACCTCGCACTTGTTGAGATGATTCCACATTAGTGGCTTCAGACTTCATTACGTGCTCTTTGATGTTTTTTGCCATACCTTCGAAACCGAGGCTCTCATTCTTAGCCATTTCATTTGATATAGGCCAATTTTAACCTCTAGTAATATTTTAGAATTGGATCTCAGGCATTACTGTAAACATATTGTTGATAACTCATAATTTTTCTATTCAAGGTCAAAAGGAGGTTTTCATCATGAAAATCTTCATAAGGATTACCATCATAAAGTTCATCATCAATAAAAGGTCTTTCATCATAAACCTCTTCATAAACAGAATTATTATTTATTTTTGGCATATATTGTTGAATTGGGAAAGGTCTAAAGTTATGGAGTCGTAGGATTTTGGGTAAACTATATTGTCGATTGCATGGGATTTAGCGAAGGTGCCCATTTGAGTTAGTTTATTTCACGGTGTAACCTAGCTAATGCTTCATTGATTTAGTAACATGCATCATCATAAGTATGTGAACAATAGAAATTATAGGCATCATTATACATGTAATGATAATTAGATTTAAAAGTATAGGAGTTACATCCACAAGTGTAAACTCTTTGGGGATTGAAAATGAGAATGATAAAATATAACATTCATAATATGCTGAAATTATACCACCGAAACTTGAGAAGATGGTTGTGAATCAACTACTTAGAATTTCTATCGGTGGCTGCCACCATGTCGGAGTAGAAAGAGTGTAACCAATAGGAAGAATGGTTGTCCTTCAAATTTTGCTAATCAAAGCTGATGGGGAAGACAATGAGTTTTCTATTTCCTTTTTGGCTGAGAGATGAGTATAGTTGCATTAGGGAGCTTTGTGAAAGTTGCACGATAGGGGGTGAAATTGAAGAAAATGGTTCTTTGTTTGTGCTGCGAAATTGAACTAAGATCACTGTTTATAGTGTGTAGCGAAAGACGAAAATTGTGATGATGTAAAGGACTCGTGTATTACTTGTGAGTGGAAAGTTGTCGAATTTTGGGATGATGTTGGTGACAAGGTCCTATCACTGAGAACAAAGTAAAGAGGAAGGGTTTGCTAGGCAACCATCAAATGAAGGGTTGCACCATTGGTCCAGTGATTGCAAATGAGATAACAAGATGCATATGTGGTTGTTGTGAGTATGTATTGCATAAAAGACTTGAATAGATGGGTGTTATTATGATGCACAAACCTAGTTGATGGAATTGAAGATCTCTATAAAGGATTTGCCCCAATGATCACAATAATTCAGGTGTGCAATATGCACAGGTCGCACTTCATGTGCATGCGATCTGCAAAGGAACAGATGTGATTGGGGCTAGCAGCGGTCAGATGTTATGCAACAAAATAATGACATGAAAGAAGATTGTAGATTTGGCTTCCGCACATGAGAGATGGGCTTGTAAGGTGAGCAAGGAAGCCTCTACTGGATTTGATAATAAAATGGATGGAATGGTGAAGAAAAACTCATTGACACAAGTTGGGACATCTTGCATACTTAGATCTTGAAAGCATCTGATCAGACTCACAAATAATCAAATTTCATTCGTTCATGTTTTTAAATTAAGAATCAATTGCAAACCATTATCATTATTTATAGAAATATGATTACATGAAAATGGATAAAATTTAAATCCATCTATTCTTATACCGAGATCAAGTCAAACCATATCAAACTGTTCAAACATAATTTTATCCGAAGAGAATAATTTGATCTAATAAATAAATCAAATAAAATAATTGGCCATATTGAAATGTGGTTTTTAAAAAGTTTGAAAATTTGTCTGGTTCGACTTTTCTTACTTATTTTAATTGACAAGCAAAAGCCTGGTTTTTTTGTAGGCAAATTACTTAATTTTTATTGCATAATATTAAGCCACTTAGAGGACTATTTTTCTAGTTTTTTTCTACCGTCTATTATATAAATATGTTTGCGGTTATTATTTTAAATGCTACAAAGCTATCCTTTCATCCTAACCTCCTAACCTAATAATATATATATATATATATATATATATTGATTGTGGCCT